CACTCGAAGGAAAAATGAGTCCGGAAAGTCCTTTTTCATGAGTTCTTGTTTCCGTGTCAGCACCCGTCGTGGTATCTCCGATCGGAGCATGGTGTTCCTGTCAATCTGATGCAGGTAGCCGCTCACGACGGCGCTTTTTTGCCTTTTACATCCCCAGGACAGAAAGGACTGTCCATTATGGACCTTCAGCGGTTCATCCGTCCAAACACAGACCTCGTTCTTAGACATCTGAATGCAATTCAGATAGGGAAAGAATTTGGACGTCCGAATCTGGCAGCCCAAGAAGTCGAAGGTCCCGTCACCGTCATCGGTCTTCTTCAGAGTTAATGCGTCCGGATAGCACATCTCGAAGCCAGTCAACAGTCTCGCCGCTAAGTCCTGGTTCTTAGTCACAGTGGTGAACATGACGTTGTCTACCAATCGATAGCCGAAAACACAACGGGCGTACCTGCCCAGGCTACGAAGGTACAGAAATTCCGAGTAGGCACATAAGATACCAGCCAACGGGGGGCTGGTAGTTTTTCCCATCGGGATACCAACCACCTGCTGCAGCAATACACTCGTGGCGAAAGTGTAAGTATGCTTCAGTTCCAGCTTAATAAAAGTCAAAATCTCCATGAGGTTCAGCTTACGCAAGTGGTCTGCGCCCGTAGTAACCCCGAAGGAAGAACCTTTCCCTCTCGTGTTCACCCGAACGAAAGTACGACCCTTCGACATATGGAAAGCGATAACCCACTCCACCGCCCGCAGAACGTCACAGTGTGGCAGACGACTAAACATTTCCTTAATGTCAAATGAGTGGGAGGACACCTCATATCCCTGCCCCAAGCGCAAGATCCGTCTGTTTGCATCATGCAAGCGCTGAGGTAGCGCGGAAACGGAAGGCAAGTTAAAATGCCAGCTTCGGGGAATAGTTGACAACAAGTCATTAAGTGCTCTAGAGACGACCCTCCCAATTCTGATCATCGGCTCATTAAACGTCGGGCAGATCGGCCTATACCTTCCCAAGTCCTTATGCTTAGGTATGATATATGTCGATCCGAAAGTCCCCGACCTATCCCATTTGGCAAAATCACCTAAGCCAGCCTCCCTCACGTCTTCGCTAATCTCCCTCAGCGTTTCCTGTTCACTTGCCACTTTAATCCTGTACCCAGGGTTTCGCACAAACGTATTCATCATCCCCTCATAGAATACAGCTGGGCACATTACGAGCGTCTCCGCGGGGTTACGATCGAGGGGAGTAAGCACCAAACCCTCAAAACGACATTTCACATCGTAGACATGGTGCTCATACAAGGAAGGCACGCAAGATTCAACTTGAGAAAAGCATTCGCGTATTGTGTTGATAGGAACCAGAGGAGGCTTCTTCCGGCAATTTTTCCACAAGTCAAAACCTGCTGCGATCTCCTTCTGCAGACTCACTACTCGATCGTGTTCCAAAACACGCGGTATGTTCTTCGCGTTGCTCAACAGAGGGTGAATTCCCTCCAACCGACTTATTAGGCGGAAACGGGCGTGGCCCTCCTCACGTGGGTAGGGCAATCCTGCACATACGCAGGTGAGTACACTCTTTTTCGCAAAGGTGCGATGGTTGTGTACTAATTCCGCAACGGATGGGTTCTTCCCCCACACGATGCGAATCTTCCTCCGAGCCCGCTCTAAGTAGCTAGACGGTAAATCACACCGCATTAAGCAATCATTGACAACCTTACGCAACTGAGACAGTCTAATCCGTTCATCATACTTTACACGAAATACAGGATCCGCCCCCATGCAAATATCAAAGCGATCCCGAAAAATTCTGGAGAGCAACCGTCGCAAATACTTCCGAGTCGATTTCCGAGAAAAATCCTTCACTACATTATACAGCCTGAGTAGCGACCTAATACCCCAGCGATACACCTCATTTAGTCGGCGGGGATTACGCAAAATACTAATCAGCACACCCTTCAAGTAAGAGCTCCTCGGTTTCCAATGCAGATATGGGAAAAGCAAAAGGTACCCCCTCCCTCGAGGGCAGATTTGCACTCCTTCAATCTACGGGACTCGTTCTCGAAACTTACCTTAGTCTCACCAAAGATTTTGACGATCCCCTTCCAGCCGCCGGTCCATGTATTCCCAGGCTCAAACTCGCACTGTACGTTCGTACGACCGGAGGTTAGACACTCATCCAGTATACGAAACAAGTTAACGCCCCATGGTACGTTCCGACCGATGCGCATTCAAACCGGGACGAAGGTAGTGTTTTTTGTAACCGAACCCCCATCCTTCCGACGGGCTGCTGCCCGCTCCCTTCTTCCTGGTTTTTTCTTCTTCCTCCCAGACTATGTGACACCCGCAGCCTAGGCCGCGGGCATTTCGGCCGCGGCCGAGGCCAATGAGGCCCGGTCCGCGGCCCATTTTTTCAATATTTTGTTTCTCCCCCTAAAAATACGTAAAAATATATATATATATATGGGGGTGTAGGGCTTGAAAAACCCTACACTCATTTTTTTTTTTTTTTGGAATCCGACTTTGTTTAAGATTTTTGAAAAATCAAAAACGAAAATCGATTTAAACAAAATTAAAAAATATATATATAAAAAAAAGCAGGAATTTTTTTTTGCCATTTTTTATCATGAGATATATGGTCCCTGAGTACACCTGTATTTTTTTTTGAATTGGATTTTTGTTTTTTGCAGGGAAATGAGGTGTTCTGAAAAAATAAAGATGTAACATTTTAAAAGAAAAAAAAAAAAAAAGGTTTGATTGATTGATTGATTGGATTAGATTGATTGATTGAGTGTGTGTGTGTGTGTGTGTGTGTGTGTGAGTTTGTGTACGCGTGTGTGTGTGCTCCGTGTGTGTGTGTGTGTGTGTGTGGGCGTGCGGGAGCGTGCGCGCGCGCGCGAGAGAGAGAGAGAGAGAGAGAGAGAGAGAGAGAGAGGTGTGCGTGTGTGAGTGTGAGTGTGTGTGTGTGCGTGTGTGTGTGTGTATGTGTGTGCGTGTGTGTGTGAGTCTGTGATGTGTGTGAGATGTGTGTGTGTGTGTGTGTGTGTGCACGCGGGAGCGTGCGGGAGCCTGCGTGCGGGAGCGGGAGCTTGCGGGAACCTGCGTGCGGGAGCCTGCGTGCGGGAGCCTGCGTGCGGGAGCGGGAGCGTGCGGGAGCCTGCGTGCGAGAGTGGGAGCATGCGTGGGAGAGAGAGAGAGAGAGAGAGAGAGAGAGAGAGAGAGAGAGAGAGAGAGAGAGAGAGAGAGAGAGAGAGAGAGAG